TTCAAGAACGTTTGAAAATGTTTTAAATATTTTATTTGCCCGCTTAAAATGCTTTATAACATGGCCTTCAAGAGAGGATCTCCAACTTAATATGCCAAAATGCTTCAGGAATATTTTTGATAACAAGGTTACAGTGATAATAGATTGTTTTGAACTATTTGTCCAAAAGCCCTCAAATTTAGAAGCTTCTGCAAAATTATGGTCAAATTATAAACACCATCATACTATAAAATTTTTAATAGGCATATCACCACAAGGCACTATAATGTTCATTTCAAATGCTTATGGAGGCAGAGCAAGTGATAAATTTATAACAAAAGATTCGGGGTTTTTAAATAATTTAATTAGGGGGGATTTAATTTTAGCAGATAGGGGTTTTTCTATTGACGAAAGTGTACAGATATATTCTGCTAAAGTAATGTATCCAGCATTTTTAAAGGGAAAAAAACAGTTAGACGCCAATGACACAGAAACAACTAGAAAATTGGCAAGTGTCAGGATACATGTAGAAAGAGTGATAGGTCACCTTAAACGAAAATATAGAATATTGACAGAAGAATTTCCCTTAAGTTCTTTACGTAAAGGAAGCCCTGATGTGGCTCAAATAGATAAAATTGTTGTAGTTTGTTCAGCTATGCTCAATTTATGCCCATGCATAATCCCACTTTAATTTCTTTTTAATAAATAAATCTTTAATTCATTTCAAAAAGAAAACTCAAAGTCTTCCTCCACAGAATACTTTAATTAACTCTTAAAGAGCTCTATGTTCCAAAGCTAGAAAGCCTCATCATCAGGGGCAACATGTAGGGCTCTTTGAGAGTTAATTAAAGTATTTTGAGGAGGAAGGCTTGTGTTACTTTCATTTACTTTTCAGTTTTAAAATTATTTCCGACATAATAATTTGTTTATAGGCCACCAACAGGAAACAAAACATTTTTAAAAATATCCTATGTAACTGCGTTGATGCAAACAAAAAAAACAAAAAATATTAATTGCAGTCATTGCAGATGATTTTAATGTTCAATTCCTAAAGCCTAATGAAAACAGAACCATCTATCATCACCGTTGCCCTCTTTCAACTTAGAACAGACCATTTTTTAAAATACATACTAAGATCACTGCAAATATAGCTAGTTGGTATAGTTAATAGGCATTTTTATAAATTTTGAATGGGTAAGCTTAAATAGTTAAGTTATAGAAGCATTAGCTCTAATCATACTGCTTAAAAAATAATTTTAAATGATAAAATAAATTTGTATATAAAAGAATCTTCTCACTTAATAATAAAAATACATTTTTAGGGGCTCTAAAAAAAACAAGATTGGACAGGGGTATATACAATTGACATGTCTAATATCAATGGACAATGGCAAATGTCTACAAATGCTTCAATTAAATTGAATAGAAAAATAGCATTATTGTTTTATCAGGAGTAAAAGTGGTATTTTTGTGACGAGTCTGTAAGTTTGCTTGTGAAACAGAAGACTCACAGAAGTAACTTCTACTCCGAATAGAACCGATCCACCAACTATGTTACCAAATATTAATTTTTCTTATTTTATTAATAATCAAATTAAGAGAAATAATTAAAACTTTAAAAAAATGATTCTTTCTTTTTGGTGATAGTATTTTGTGTTAATTATTTTTATATAATATTGTTCGTAACACACTTGAAAATAAGGAATTTTGTATTGTATTGACTGACTAAATTAAAATATAGTACATAGACAAATACAAAAAATGTGGTTTTATTTCATTAAATATTTTAGTAAGGTATAAATAAATAAACAAACTTTTAAAATGTAAAAAAATCTATTCTGAATCAGAATAAGCCTTGCAAATGTCACAAATCCAAACTGAGCTGGGTATTTTTGACAAACCTACACACTTGAGATGATACCACTCTATTCTGCACATTTCTGCTTCACAGGCAATCATTGGAGTAACACCATCATCTTCTTCCCTACAGATGCAATATAATTTCTTGCAGGGTCCTGGTTCTGGAGAAGTTTCTTTCTCCTTTGGAACATTACTTGGTCCAGGCTTTGGTGATGACACTTCTTCTACATTTTCGCTTGTAAAAACTAGTTCTTCGTATAAATCGATGTCAAGAGACTCCTCAGGAGACTCCTCTATTTCTTCTTCTGGAAATTCTGCCAAAACATTGGTTTGCCTGCTATAATACCTGCCTAGACATTCTGGCAAGATTATATCGAAAAAAAATTGTTTTGCAATATCACTATTGTCGGTCCAAAAACTGGAATTAAAAACAATTTTACAGTATGCAAAGTCTTTTCTGCACCATCCTACCAAATAGGAATATTTCAATTTTGTTATGGCCATTTGCATTTGCACTTGATAATAATAATCATGGTCTTTTTTAATTTGCAATTCACCATTCACTTCCTTTAAAAAGGAATATTTGTTCTGGGTTAAATCCAATATACTTTTGAACTGGACACAGTAGGGGCATTTTATTTCCAAGACACCGACACCACAACAACTACAAAAAACTATGCCATCTGGAGTAGCACCAAAAAACCATAGTTCAGGATCTATGTAGAGACCACATTTCCTAATTTGGAAATTATGGTGTTGTTGTGTCATATATGATAGGAAGTCTTTCAAGGCATACTTTTCATGTTCGCAGCCATATTCCATTGCCCTCACCCGAAGTTTAGTGGGATAACAAATTCTTTTTATCAAAGATATGGAAGGCTTATCAATTTTGGTCCTGCAACACTTTTTAAATAAAGATGCAGTGATCCTTCCTAGACGGTGAGTAAACCAAGAATTACATTTCGATTGCTGCCTCGTTTCTATTTCAATAACTTTGCAGTCTTCAATGGACATAAAAACTTGCAACTTTTGGCCTAAAATAATATATAAACGTTATTTAAACAAATCGATTACCTACATTTGCATTTTATTTACCCAATTCTCTCAATTCCTGTAATGACTTTGTCTCATACTCTTGCTTATAAAAACGGAGAAAAGACAATTGATTTTTCTCCTCAATCTCCTTGTGTACTTCTTTGGAGAATGGAGGGATTATATTATGCAAGGCACAACCCCCTGCTTGCTTCAAATTTTCAAGAAGGGACATTTGGTCTTCTTTTGAAGGCGCAAGAACAGCCAATCTGACTTCTTCTCTTTGGAATATAGGTTTGTCCTGGGATTTTTGCTTTGCAGTTCTGAAATCAATTTTGGCAGTAGTTGATGGATCTGCTGGTTTGTTTGTAGGAGGCATCCAGTAAGCCTTCACCCCCGTCCTAGTTACTTCTTCCCTAGATCTTCCTGCTTCATCCAAAGAAAACAGTACAGCTCCTATATGGGTACACACTTCTCCCAATCCTGCAACACAATCGCAGTGAGCACTATGTACAGTTCCATCTTCGTTAGTGATTATCCATGGAGACAGTAGCTTTTCGTTGAGTCGTTGCGAATGCATCACCTTAAATATATTTTTTTAAATTATTCTCGGCACAATGTGGAACAAACAGACTTAATATATATTAATTAAAAACATCTCACAGATTAATTAATCAGTTACCTACCTTGCCTAATACTAATTTATAAGATGGAAACACCTTCACCCCAATTTTCTTCACCCAACCACAAGTAGCTTGATTATAAGCCTCAAGGCTTTTGTAGGCTTTTAATTCTTCCATAGTGTATGCACTTTTTGTATGTACCAAATACATTACAATGTCGGGGTAAAAAGTTGGAGGAAAGTCTTCTAGGCGTTTGGAACAATTTTCAATGTTTATAGTGTATGGATCCACTCCCAAGACAGATATCTTCTGCAAATATCTTATGGAATGAGAACCTTGCAACTCCTTGGCATAAGTACTTAGATTGTTGTCCATTTTGCTGAAAATTATAATGTATTGTGAAAAATAATTTGAATTATACAAATATTATCGTATACATAAATATATAGTGCTAGATTTTATTAGAATTAAAAAGAAATTACAAAGAAATTATATGGTAGAAAGTCCTTGTCCTTAAAACTTACCAAAAATCGTAATTTCGATGAATGCAACACAAAGTAGTCTTCTTATTACTAAAATATTGTCTCTTACAAATCCAAACCAAACACAATTATCCACTAAAACTCAAAAAATCCAAATAAAACACTCAAAAAACAATCAACCAACACGTTGTACATATACAAACAAATGGTATAGGTTATGTTGTTATACCTCCAGGGTTATTCTGTGACGTCACGCGCACGAAACCTATTGTTTGCCAACCAGACGCCATTTGGACAGGTCGTTGGATTGCCTAATGGCATGTAATATTGACAATTGAGTTGACGAGGGCGCTTCTGTACTTGGTTCTCTTTAAATTTTGGCGCGTAAAAATTCGATTTAAATCTAACCTCAAAACTGAAGTTTGATGTGTGGTTTCAAGACAAGCTGACGCTGACACTTTCAAAAATATTCTCTAAGGGCCACTGAACGCTTTAGAAGATATTTTAACTTATCCATTGTCCATTGTTCATATGTAGTCATCTTTCTTTCTAGTCAATTTAATCAGTTTTAAACTATTGACATTTACCGCCAAAATTTAAAACACTCCAAGTTCACTCGCGCCCTCTACAAAATTTTGAGGAACTTAACTGGATATTTGCTGCCATTGCAAAGGAATATGTCAAGTATAATTTAACATAACCTTAAACGACACTGCGGTGAGTTCAAGTAATATGTAAATTATTAGTTTGCTCTTTGTCGAATTACACGTTACAAAGAAAGAAGAAACGATTCATTCTGAACTGGCCCCTGAATAAGAATATGACGTAAGCCTGTAAGAAACCTGCTTCTCATTGGACGCTCACCTGCAGCCTACAAGCGACGCGCGCAGTCCAGGTAATAGGAGATCGGTCTATTATGAGCAACTTAGCTAGGCCATCAATCTGGAAGAGAGAAAAACCGGGATGAAGAAGATTCTGACATACGACATGTCATATGAAAATTGGTCGACATGTGACATCACATCAAAATTATTGTCAGTTACAATCATCAACGGCATCAACACTTCTTCTCTACATCATTTTTCGTTTAAATGGCTCTCAAAATTGCACAGTGCATCGCTCCTATCCTTCAATATGGCAGACATCAATTGCTTCAAGTTTTTTATCCATCAACTGAGAACACCCAGAAGAAACCAATAAGTTTCCTAGCAAAAATCAATGAGTTTAAAAACAAATTAGTTTTGAACAGAACAATTAGCGAAAGAAAGTGCTGTAAGGAACCAGAAGAAAACTTAGCAGCTGTTTTACATGGAGAAGGAGATTTGAGATTGGAAAATCGGCCTATACCCAAATATAATGCAAATCAGGTTAGTAAACCACCTAGCTCAACACAACAAAGCTAAATTACAACTATTATGAATAAATGTTCAATTTATAATAATTATCCATTATTGGTTCTTGCTCTGGCACATCAGAGACTTGAACACTTTGTAGATTGCTTGATAGTGAGAAAGCGTAATAAGCCCCTTAAAATTCTAAGAATATTATATATTCAGGTTCTTGTGGAAGTGGAAGTATGTGGCATATGTGACTCGGACGTTAGTTTATTCGGAGAAGGGCGACTTGGTACTGATTTCCTGAAAAAACCCACAATTATTGGTCACGAAGCTTCCGGCACCGTCTGGAAATGCGGAGAATGCGTTAAAAATCTGAAACCTGGAGATAAGGTTGCTATTGAACCACTTGTACCGTGCAGGATGTGTCTTTTATGTAAACTAGGTACGGTTACGGTTTTCAAATAGAATTCTATAGAAGCTTCTAGAATTTTCGAGAGTTTCCACTAATGACTTAATGAGCTTGTTTTTTGATGTCAAATCTGGTTATAAAGTCACAATAATTTCAATTCAATAAAAGTTCACTGATTGTAATTAGATTAAATTAATACACTAAGGTAAGGTGGGGTAAGTGTGTAGTAAAATTTTAAAAGTTTCTATATACATCCTGATTTTGACGAAACTACTTGGGATCCTAAGTTCATATTTTGCCATAATACATTTAGGTATATCGTCCGCAAGTACAATACATTTATACCTTTCCACTTTCGTATTTTTTTTTTCATACGGGCATATTTTTTTTTTGTGTGCATATTACACACTTGCCCCATAAAATGGGGGAAGTGTGTAAACGAGCCAGATTTTATACATAAATCGATTTATTCATGTCTGGGGCAAATGTGTAAAAAGTAAAAGTCCAAATTTTTTTATTATATTTTTTTTTTATTGTTATAACTTAAACTTTTCCAGTTACAAACTTTTTAATACAAAAGAAAATGGTCTTCCAAAAAAAAATAAAAAAATTAATAATGTCTCTCACAACAAAAATAAACAAAATAACCACTAAATGGCACTTATTGAATATTATAATTATCAAATGAAATTCCAAATCGATGCAAACCTCTTTTGGTAACTTCTGGTTCTGGAAGCACCATAACAATATCTTGAATGTCAACAAATGAACATTCCTCAGGATATGCCCAAGTAAAAGCAGTTGGAGTAGTTCGGGTAAGCGATAGCACTTTTCTTGTGAACTTAACTTCTATTTCGTCATCTTCTTTTTTTACTGAGATTACTTGACCAATATAATGTTTAACATTTTTTTTCCCCGCGCAAGCAATAAGCACCCAATCGTTAACATTTGTATCATTTTTTTCTTTATTTATTTTGTCCATCTATTCCGTCAATTCCTGCTCTTCTCTTAATTCTTCTTCAAAATCATCATCACTATCATCGTAAATGACTGCTTCATCTTCTGTTGGTGATTCAAGCTCAACAACTTCGGAAACTTTTTTTTTCTTCGAGGAATTATTATCCGCTTTTTCTCGCAAGCGCTTAAGAACTTCTGGAGCAGTGATTATTTCGGCACCACCAGCAATTTTTCTTCTTGATTTTTGAATGTTTGTATCTTTGTTGTGCTGCTTCACCATATCTAATAGTAGCTCTTCAAATGAAGTTTTATCTGGATTATTTATTCCTGACGGTCCCGGAAAAACATTATTTTCATCGTTCATTTGTTCTTGATCTGTTTGATTATCCTGATCATTGGAAGTTCCGGGTAAATTACTTTCAGGATCGTTTATGTCTTTGTTTAAAGTTTTTTCATGTGACTTCCATCGCTTTAACGCTAGCGGATCATAATGATCTTCGGAGACAACTTTGGAATCGAAAGGAAATATGCCACCTTTTTTAAAACCGCTGATTATTATTTCAGGATGGGTTTCTGACCATATTTTTCCTATTAACCTACTAAAGTGTTATTTTGGAATTCGCTGTCCTTGATTATGCCTTTGCCACTCCACAACAAGTGCATCCCATCTTGTCTTTAGTGAACGAAAGACACTAAGGTCGAGTGGTTGCAACAAGTGACTAGAATGGGGGGGTAGTTTCAATATGGTTACATTATTACGCATAGCACAGGATATAAGTCGTTCATCTACATGAGAGACGTGCCCGTCATAGATTAGAAGCACTGGTCTAGCATCACCAATTTCTTTTAAAAAACTTTTCTGAAAGTAGTTTAAAAAAATATGAGATTCCATCCACCCGTTGGAAGTAGCGGCATATGTAGTGCCTGGATATTTGCTTTCCGTAGACACCCATTCATCCCAAATATTTTTACCTTTAAATATTATAAGAGGTGGTGCTTTAAAGCCCGCAGCATTTGCTGCCATTATAACCGTTATGTTTTCTCGTCCTGGGCCTGCAGTAGTTCGTGAAGCAGCCGTGCCTCTATTTCCCACAACTCTCGTTTTAGAAGGGTCTAAGCAAAATCCCGATTCGTCCAGGTTCCAAATTTGGTGAGGTTTGTCGCGCAAATTTAAATCATTTAAGGTTTTCTCTAACAACTGAAAATATCCATTTATTATGAATGGGTCCATACTTTTTTTGCGGGCGTATTCAACTGACTGGGGCTTTTTAATTGAGAAATTATGTCTTTTAGTAAACCCCAAAAACCAATCTTCTCCTGGAATTCCGTTTTTGAATGGAGTTTTTAATTGGTTACGTCTAACATAATCACCCACGATCCTTAAAATTTCCATCCGGCTCAGTCCCCAGCCCCACTTCTCCATTGTTCTTATACCGTGTGCCAATTCATTTTCCATCTCTAATGGAATTACTGTACTTCTACCTTGGGTGTTGCTTTTTTTTCCCCTTTTACCTCTTAAGCGGTAGTTGAGCGTCATCATAGGTATTCCATATTTTTGACTGGCCTTATAGGCGGTGATTATTCCACTTTTAACCTCTTCCATAGCTCGTTCCAAAGTCTCTTTAGTGTATGTCTTGCCCCTCTCACTCTTCCTTACATATACGCGCACCATTTTTGTTGAAACCGTCGATTCCTGAAATAAATGATTTCAAAAATAGCAGAAATTTCTATATGGGGAAAGTGTGTAATGCCTTACACACTTCCCCTAAAAAAAATTACACACTTTCCCCATGAGAATTTTTAATGGGGTAACTGTGTATTAGCCGAAAATAATAACAAGAAATGGAATTTCAATAAAAATACCGACACTAAGTTAAACTATAGCTCTTACTTACCTTATGCACAGTGAACAACAATTACAAAACTAATTCGAGTGGCCGATGATCGTGGGTTTAAACATGGGGTACTGACTACATCAATGCAAAACGGAAGCACGTTCAGAAAGAAGGAGTATTGAAGTCTCAATAAGAGATATCCAGTATTGCTATATTGTTAGATTTGACGTGTAGAGAACCTTCCTTAGTATTTCATAGATGGCAGGACCTATACACGCATCACTCACGAATTATTAGTTGATTACACACTTACCCCAACTACACACTTACCCCACCTTACCTTAATTCTCTTGCTAATTAGGTTATTATCTCAAACTATTTCAGTACTTTAGTACTTATCTTGTGAATTATTTCATTGTTCAGCTCAAGTTATTGCACCTTATCTTGCTCGATTATCTCACTAATAGCTCAAATCAATGCACCAATTGTCTAACTGAAAATCGCACTTCTGACATCACATTATCACGGATTCCGGGTTCAATAAACTATGCCTACCCAGCCACACTCTTAAGTCAAACTGCTCACTCACAACGTAACATTTAATGTTATTATTATTTTTTCCAGGCAAATACAATGTGTGTCCCAACTTGTGTCGACGCTTCGCCCCATACAGCGACGGCAACCTATCAAGATATTATGTGCACGAATCCGATTTCTGTTACAAAGTCCCCAAAAACATGGATCTGGAACTAGCTGCCCTTATGGAACCTCTATCTAGGGGAGTACACGCGTGCAAAAAAGCCAAAATCACTAGCGGAGATTCGGTTTTAGTTCTCGGTTCTGGGCCGTTTGGATTATTGACTATGCAAGCCGCCAGAGCTTATGGTGCCTCATCCGTAGTTGTTTTGGATATCGATCCGTTTAAACTGTCAAAGGCCATGGAAATGGGGGCAGATTGTACTATAGACTGCAAAAAACTTCCTGAACAAGAAGTTGTGAGGCAAATTCATGATCTCTTAGGGAATTTGCCTAACAAAACTTTCGCTTGTAGTTGCTATGAAAAAGCTATTAGAGTAGGTATTCTAGCTACAGCTACTTGTGGCAAAATAGTCATAGCAGCATTTGGTGCTAACGATCAGTGCCTACCAATAATGGATTCGTTTCATAAAGAAATGGAGATAATCTGCTCTATAGGATACGCCAACGACTATCAAACAGCGATAGATATGGTTACAAGGGGAAAAGTGGATCCCAGGCCAGTGGTGACGCATCATTTTAAGATGTGTGATGCGATTAAAGCGTACGAGCTCGCGGCGAATGAGAATCAGAGACAACTGAAAATTTTCATTCATCCGAATCCCAAGTGGCAACCTGAAAGCTGTTGAGTTTGTTATCAAAATAATAAAGATTGTAACTGTGTTCGACGAATTTTTCATACACTCAAATCTTGATTTGAAATTTTAATAGTTATTTACATTACAAGTGCGTTTATGAACATGATTACAATAACGAGTGTGAAAGATTAGAAGGACGAGGTCGTAGACCGAGTCGTTCTAGTCACACGAGTTTTGTAGTCATGTTCAAATGCACTTGTGATGTACAACGTTTTATCTACAAAGCGGAAAATAACAAAATGTTTTTTCTCGATTTTCGTTCATTAGTAGGTAGTTGTCTACCTTCATTCTACCTTTACAGGTTCAACTATGTCATTTGTCAAATCACAAAAACTAGTTGTGTTATAGATTCGTAATCTATTCCATAACACCACTAATTGTTGTCTGAATCATCTAAATCATCACACGAATTTAGGTGAACAGTTGTGTTATGAATTCATAACCTAGTCCATAACACCACTAGTTGTGTTATGAGTCTAATAACATAACTCAAATACTAGAAAAATGGTTATGTGTAAAAACGTCATTACCAAAGGCTTTTAAATAAAAGATAATTGATATTGCATGATATCTAATCCTAATAGTATTTGCAACTGTTACGAATTGTTCTGACATCATTCCAATCAAAAAGTTCTTCTTTTTTTGACTCCTAGTGATTGATATTCTTATTTATTACACGAACTTTTCTTGCAATGTTTAGAACTAAATTTCTTTGGTAGTTGGATAAAGACATACAGGGTGGAATTTTAAAACTGGAATTATTACGCTTATTAATTTGCACCGAAGCAATTAAAAATCGGAATGTGCTATGCTCTAATATGTTTAAGAACCGCGAGGATAATATCCCTACTAAATGGAAATTGGTGGGACCATAACATTAGATCGGAAGACCGTAGAACATAATGGACCAATAATTATTTAAAAACAGTACAATTTATTCTTACCGAGATCCATCAGTCCTCTGTATACCATTATAATACGAACTGGCCAAACTGGCCTCTGTACCAACTTTCGGCAAGTTCTGCTCGAAAAGAAACGGGCTTTGTCCGATCAATCCATCTTCACTAATTTGTCCGTAATGCGGCAAGTCGGGAGTGCTGGATCCGATTTGGAACCTGGACAAGATGTTCGCTTGTCTTTTAGAGAGCAATGGTGAGTTTGGGTTGCTGCTGCGGTTCATCAATGGTACTTTGGTAGTGTTTTCGTAGGTACTGTCCACGAAATCGTTCCTTTCTTGGATGCTTCTGATGTAATCGATTGGTTTGGCCATAATAAAATGTTGGTGAGGAGTTTTGGGTGTGGTTCTACTACTGTCATTTTAACTGTAATAGAAAAAATTATAATAAATGTAAAGGTAAATCTTGTGGAACTGAAAATTAGGGCAATTTGCTCGGCCGGTACTTGATCGATAATCATCATCATTTTCCAATTTACATGATGAAATGTAGTCTATCAAATGATCTGAGAAATTAGGAGACTCCACAGAGTCGATTAACTTTTACTCGCGCACTTTGAAACACTCAAATAGTCACCTGTGGAACCATAGATCCTAATTTCATTTCTTTTTTCATAAAGTTAATGTTTGTATTGAAGTTCTAGGATAATGAAATTGTTACAATCCCAAGACATGAATTGATGAATAAAATTTGATGCAACAAAAAAAGAAGCGCAGTAGAACAAATCACATTCTTTTCTTTTAGAAATTGAGCGGAAGTGGAACCTTACATTATCACTATTATTATAAATCTCACTTAGCACGAAATGTAAATGAATCCATTCAAATAAACACTTTGCGAGGCCGGTACTACCAACCAATTGGGTTAACACTTATTTTAACACCGCTATAATCTATCCTCTGACCCTCATGCAACTTTTTTCTTCAACTATTATTTATTAACTTGCATTCAAGTTCACTTTTATTGAACAATAAAAGTGTTTTATGTTCTTTCATATTTATTGGAAAATTTAAAAAGAAAAGCATTGAATTGCAAGAAAAAGAACAAATTCCAATAAGTAAGTAGTAGAGGTGATTGAATAATTCATCTGTTGAATTACTGAAATAGATAACTCACATTTTTCAAATACTCTTGTGATGAGGTACTAGATCAATGTGTGGAAAAAAGTTTCTTAACTTGCACACCATCATCAATTTGTTTAAAAAAATTAATAACCCAGAGACCAACCATGATGATGATGGAATAGAATGCACAATAAAGATGACAGCAGTTAACAATGAAATTATTATTTGATTGAAATAATTTTAGTGAACCAAAAGTGAATAATTCTTACCTTCATTATCATAATTCTCTATTGAAAATCATCGATTTCAAAAAATAATCTTGATTCACCTTTCTCACTTCACTTAACTATATCGCAACTATAATGAATGTGACCAGATGCTCTTTTGTCGGTTGTGGATGCCAAACAATTTTTTTTATTGAGCGATTATCCAATTTGGCCAAATTTTGGTTGGAATTAATAGCAAAGGGCTTAAACGTTCTGATTTATTTATGTTATGTTCTGATTTATTTTTAAATCTATTAATATATTATCTTATATTCTTGTGATTGTAGATAAAAAAGAATGTCGCAAATTTAAGTAAGCTACCGTTTCCTGGATCTTTTTTTTTTCACTGCTAGCAAGTAGGTGTGGGAAAGGACAGATTATACACAATTTACTCAGAAACGTTCTATGTTTATTTTCCCAAGCATCATTAGCATCAAGGCAAAATATTCTTGAGCAGATGTTTAAAATAACTGACAAGTCATCCCTAAATTTTTGAAATACTTCTGTGCACTTTTTAGTAGATTATCAGATCGCTATTAAGTCACATGGGTAAGTGGAAAAACTTCCAAATCATGTTTTGAAAACCCTAAAAAGACACAAAAGTAATAAAGGCGTTCAAATGACAGTGAAATTTGCAGATATTCTTTCGGATAAAACTTATTATCCCACAGTATCCTAATGGAATCCCACGGAATCCTACTGGAATCTAATAGAATTCCATGGAATTTCTTGTAAATTTTTAGAATTATTTTGTTGGACAAAAAATACCTATTTTCTAGTTTAGTCGCCACTAGATAGATGCAAACTAAAAACATCGTATCTTACTGGCAAGCCACCGGAAATCCACGGAATCCCAAGAAATTGCACGGAATCCCACAGAATTCCACGGAATTCCATTGGTATTCCAGCCACAAGCTTGTACAGGGTGGTCTAAATTGAACACTTTTCTTATGGAAACACCCTTTATTTTTGTAGATAGAAGAAAATAGATCTAGGTGTCTGGAGCTCAAATTTAATGAGAAAATCAATGGCGGAAACAAAATTCTGCTATCTCTAATCGTTTGGACGCTAGAGAGCATTTTTCAAATTTTGTCGATTTCTTGAATGCCCCAACTTTCTCATTATTAAAAATAATTAATTATATGGTAAAATGTTTCTTGGAGGACTTTTTTATGTAGAATCCATTGCGATAGACAGTTTTTATACAGGATGCGTTTGGTTTTTTTTATTCGGCATTAAACTTATTTTTTTTCATACGGGACACCCTATACACGGTGTCCCACAAGGAACCAAATCGATCTATACGAGAAATTACCTATGTGCAGATTTTTTTTTTTTAAATTTGGCAGTATTCTTACTAATTTATGTCAATGGGGCCAACCCGGCTAAAATATTTTCAAGATGGTAAAATTTCCGGGTATACTGGAAGTATACGTCAACTTGCACATTTTGAATGAAACACCCTGTATGCGATTGCATAGGTATTTGGATTCTACATAAAATTCTGAGCAGATTTCATATGATATACCCTCCTATCTATCTTCAACTGTTTTGCAAATATTGAGAGTTGAAAATTGACTTTTTTCAACTTTGACAGACTTTAAAACCTAAACGATTAATTTTAGAGGAAAGCCGATACCACATTCTTGTCTTTGATTTTAATAAACTATCATTTGACACCAACTTTGAATTTAACCGGAATTTTTAATCATCATCATTAAGTTCAAAGTTGGTGTCAAATAATAGTGCCCTATCGTGAAACTATTTTTGCCGGGTTGCCCTCATTGGCATTAGTATACTGTAATGACCAACGTGAATACAGGGACACTACGGTCCCTGTTTGGGAATCGGCCCACTGAGCAGTGGACTCAGGCTTCCCGTGCCAATCCTTGACGCGTTTCGTCCTTGTTAGGACTCATCAGAAGGACATAGGCTGAAGCTCCCTGTCCAAGCAAAATTGAACTTTGTTGAAAGCTCAAAACAATCAGTCTAGTTCAACGCGGGTAGGGGTATTTGCCCTCGGAGTAGTTGTTACTGACTGGTCAACAAAGTATAATTATTTATCTTTAATAATGAGAAAGTTATGATCCCGGCCCCTCAGGATGATCCCGTGAAAAAAATGTCTAGAGAAACGAGTTTTGAATTTGTATTTTAGGTAGATTAGGAAAGTGATTTAACTTGGGTACCTAGACATAATTTAGCGCGACTGTTTTTTGTGCGCCATTTTTAAAAATGGCGGATGATTTCAGTGTTATTTAGAATTTCAGGAACTATTATAAAGCCTTCGGTCTAGTGTCAAAATCTAGATATTAGGGGCGAAAAAATATAATAGTAGTTAGTACTGAAATTGAACCCTTCAGATTAACCCTTACACCATTTTCAAAGTAGAGGCAAGTGATAATATATCTTATAATCTTAAACGAGTAAAAATTGTATGTATGTATTTTCAGTTATGATGCTATCTCGAGAACGGCTCTAACAATTTTCTCCACAATTAGTATTTACGGGGTTTTCAACCTCAGGAATCCAATGGGCTTTGTCTTGTCAAATTTTTTGCAATTTTACAGATTTCTGCATCTAATATTGAGCTTCAGCATCTCATTACTAGATGGCCCCACAACTTTGATGTTTATTTTTAAGCTTTATTTCTAGATATTTAGTGTTATTCAGGCTCTAGGTAACATTTTTTAATAATTAAAATAAATAAAGTATTTTTTAGCGACTTACCCTCTGTAACCGTGTTATAAACGATAACTGAAAGTACATCATATTTCCTTATAGTCAATAAATATTATAATTATTTGATTGGAAAATTTGGAAATATTAGGTCTGTTTCTGCAGAAATCACAAACCAGTCAGAGTTAATTTCATTGGTTGAAACTAGTTTTCTGACTGTTTCTGACTGTTTTCAACCAATGAAATTCGCTCTGACTGGTTTGTGATTTCTGAAGAAACAGACCTAGTGAAACCGGTGCAAAAAATCTGGCGACCTTGCTGCTAAGGGCCGGTTTCTCAATAGCGAATCACCTCCGGGTTGGTTTTTACTCCAGGGTAAACGTGTCCAGTTGCAATGTTCACCCTGGAATTATGCTCAACCCGGGGTGACTTGCTGTTGAGAAACCTGCCCTAAAGACCAAAAAAAAGTGACACGATAAATAGAAAATAGAATTCTAGTGTAAAAAATCGATTCCAAATAAAAATGCACTTTTTTTATCGATCCCAGGCGCTTGAATATAGTTGAGTTTTCAAAATTATTATCGATGCGGATTTAAAAAAATATTAAAAACCGATTCTAATGGTGTACCTACATTGCGATAGGTTATGTTTTTGTTTATGAATGAGACCTGAGACTCTGAGACGTAGATCAGCTTCCCGCTAGTCAGAATATGCACAAGTAATAACACATTTTATTTACTTTTTTATATACCTACTTGGACATATTACTGAAAGCTGATTCAAATCACATTAAGGCTGTGGTCCGAATATAACCAGGGTTGTGGTTTCGCGGTCCGAAAGTAATCAAATTGCTCTGGTTCCTAGAAAAGTGGTTACTTTTGGACCTTGGTTTCCTGAAATCTGGTTAACCAAATGTCAAAATAGTTACCGGCTATCGGATGTCGGTTCTGTTGGTTTTATCTGTAAATTCTGTCAATTCTTTTTTATTCCATATTTGCGTTCCCCAAGTAACCGGAATTTTCAGTAACCATCTGCCAACCGATTCGGTTACTTTGGGTAACGTTTGGTTACATTCGGACCATAAATCCTTTTCACGTGGCATCGAAGATGTCACTTTGTAACCGGGTTAGAAAACGGTATGTCATTTCTCTAACCGCCTCGGCGATATGGTTACAGAGCGGGAAAGTTCGGAAAAGTGTGAAAAGTAAATAAAAAGTTGTGTTTTGTATATAATATTATATTTTATGAATTTGAAGCCCGAAAGCCGTTTTTCTTTGTATATAGCCTGATTTACGAGGCCCGTGCATTAGAAATTGTTCAGTTTGCAGGTGGATTAGCATAAATAAATACCACCTAGGGCCAGTTTGTCCCTAGCGTGCACATAATAGCGGGTCACCTCTGAGTTGGTTTTATTTTTAACTCCAGGGTAAGCGTGTGCAGTTGCAGTTGCTATTTTTACCCTGGAGTTACGCTTAACCAGGGGGTGCCTTGCTATAATCTTTGCTATTGGGAAACCGGCCCTAATCTACCTGCACGGACTACGTAAATCACCCTGTATTATACTCAAAATATGTACCAGAGACGAGACAATCCCAGTTTACCTACTCGATAGGCTGTTGTAGACTGTAGGTAACGAGAACTTATAAACTTTAGATAAACTGGTTCTAGTAGTCTATCCACCCATGGTCCACATCTAAAGCATTGAACGAAAAGAAATTAAACTACCTACTTTTCACTTTTTAGCTTGCTGTGATAAAAAAGAATGAAATACTCGATAATTCCACAATTTTGAAAAAAAAAACTTGCTTCCCATATTTCTTCACATTTAATTAATTGTAAATTGCTCACATTTAAGATAGTTTTGTCCATAGTAGACATAATAGGTAGGACAGGGGTTAGAATTAACGGCACTGACCAACCCAACCTCATATCGAATTTAAAATAACATTTTTCTAACCATTCGTTTTCAAGTGGCATTTTCAGTAATGTCATCACTTGACATACCGCCTCTAACCGTTTTGTAACCTGGTTAGTTTAAACCGGAGCGACGTGAAAAGATGTAGCCTTAGTGTAAACCAATATCAAGATCACCTTTTGTTCAAATCTATTTTTGTTTATTTATTTGTTTCTACAATCTTCAACATCACATTTACGGTAGGTGGAAGTAGAGCATTTAGAGTATAAGTTTTGTTGCAGAGGTTTTGCAAGAACATACACGTGTAACTTTGGTGGGCAAATTATTTAAAAAGTTTATTTTGAACCATAGGTATATGCAATTAATGCATTCCTTACTGCTTACTGGTTTGGAGGTTCGAAAATGTCACTTTACTTTTGTCTACTTTGAAGCAGGCCGAAAGTGCCTGTTCTCCTGTCACTTTCGGCCTGGAGAACTCACTTTCGGCCCTGATAAATTGTTCTTTCACACCTAAACACAAATCCAGGTGCAATGTTTGTATTTAGAAGTAGATGTCACATGTGTTTATATGTTGAAAGAACATAAGATGTCAATGTCGGTGTCAGACTGTCAGTTGAAATTCCATTTTTGTCAAATTTTTACCTTATTTTTTTCAATAATTAATGATTCAAAATAAAATAGTATACACAATTCGGTGGAAAATTTTCATATTATTGTCTCGAGAATTGGTTGACCTCGGCGCTTCGCACCTCCATAGTATCTCTCGACAATAATGAAAGTACACTTTCTAAAGTTTGTTTCGCCAGGGTTTGTACTTGCCACCAGCATTTGCCTTCCTTGTTTAACAAATAAAAATTGACTGAAACAAATCAATGACGTCAAAAACGTTCGTCGGTTCTTAAACCATAAGTCATCCATTTTAATTTGTCAAAAAAATTGAATGTGTCATATGAATTAATCTACGACAACCCTTTTTTGTCAAGTTTCAAGATCAAGTATGAACCCTGGTGAAACGAACCTTACCTCCGCATGTAATATACTATTGCAGGTTTCAGAACTCCATTAACTTCTCCTGCCGGCTAGTTCCTGAAATACTAAATAACATTGAAATCATCCGCCATTTTTAAAAATGGCGCACAAAAAAACAGTTGCGCCAAATTCGCGTTGTTTACCCAAGCAAAAGTAGTTCTTTAATGAACCCTAAACCTAAATTTTAAATCTGTTTCTCTGGACAACATTCTTTTTACGGGGTTATGCCTTGGGGACAGGACTATTATGGGGCATTGAAGAAATCGACAAAATTCGAGAAACGCCCTCTAGCGGCCAAACGATTAGAGATAGCAGAATTTTGTTTCCGCCATTGATTTTCTCATTCAATTTGAGCTCCAGATACCTGGATCCATTTTTTTCTATCTCCAAAATTAAAGGGTGTTTCCATAAGGAAGTGTCCATTTTGGACCACTCTAGGCACCCTGTCCTAGACTATAATTCCAAGGTGGTTAATTACCCCCTCATTCTGAAATTTGTAGATAATTGCTGAAATCTGGAAAATAAACTTAAATCGCTATTGACTGAGTAGTTTCCAAGAAAACATATGGAACAAGGAAACCAATTATTTAAAATATAAATTATAAATTACCTAACTCTTTCATTTATTATAGGTACGTATTATTTGAATGTAAATACAATATCAGTGATGATTTGATGATAACTTTTTTTGCACAAGTTTTGGTAATTTATAAAAAATGTTTCAACTTTTACGAAGAGAATAGATTATAGGTATCACGACGCAGCAAAACAATAAAGAAAAATGCGTAAATCCTGAAAGACACGAACATTACAGTAAACTTGACGATTTAGTAGCATTTTGTTACAAGTTCTCAACTATGTTGTAACTGGATTGAAAAAAACAACAAAAATTATAGTTCCAATTACCAATTGCATAATTCGCACTTATTCTAAGTACATGCATATGACCGTGAATTTTTCTTAATCGAGAAATTGTTTTCTTCCGGGAGCAGACACAAATGCATATAGGTACATTTAACTAATAAATAGGTACTTTACCTTCCTAATCTCATCAATAACATAGACCAATAACTCAGGCCTGGATTTTGCATTTATTTTAACACAAATTGCTTCCGCTCATTAAAAAATATAGGTACTCATATTCACTAGTGAGAAGCTAAATATTGGACTATCTAGCTTTATGAATCATGTCGCCAAAACAATATCAAATATCCCCCTATCTATTTTCTGTATAAATACGGATTAGATTGAGTCAGGTAGGTAATTTAGATCCGAGATCAAGATCGGTATTTTTTATCTTGAATTACAAGGTGTGTGTTTTGTGGTTTATAAATTATCTCGGTATATTGCCCATTGTTGGTTTGTTATTCAAATAATATACAGGGTCGTTTATTTACTATTCTAAATGTTATTATTTTGCGAACAAGGAATCACGAATATTTTTATAGATTTTGGTTTTTCCTATCGCCACCCTAATGTTAAGTTGAAAAAGTCGTAATAGCTGAATTGAAGCACTTATGTTACTTGTTTATAGCTCAGACGCAATTTTCTTCAATTATTGTTGACACTTTAAGTCTGACAAGAAGAAATCACGAGGAGTTATGTCTTGAGCAAAATGAAGCAGAGTACTTTAGTACTTAGTAGGCATCCTCTTGCTATAGCAAAATTGCTAGGCTATGTTCATCGAATCAGAATTAAGATAAAGATAGTAGGTAATTCAGAAGATGACAAATATCTGACATCCTTGTCTAAGTCTGACATCATTCGAAGTTCTTTTGGATTTCGCTACTTCTTCAAAATCCATTTCGAAAACTTTGAATGAAGTCAAATGTATATCAGGTTCTGTGTACCTACTATTAATATCCATAGGTACCTACGCAAAATAAAGGAAAGTCTTTTGATTGGATACTAAAGAGCAATTGACATAGGTAATTCAGTTTTATTGTTCCATTTAGTTGAAATTGGATATCAATATTTTTTCCTATGGTTGAGCCTCTTGGATTATCGTTCACACTATACTGAACCAAATTATTGTTCCTTAAAATAATAGTTTTGAGTCTTCTACATGCTTCGATTTTGACAATTATAAAATATCCTTTTTTCTTACAAAAAATGTAGGCTGCCAAAATGGGACATAATCTATTACTTCATTATTCATCAAAATTATTTGTATTAGGTAAGTACTTAAGTATATCCATTATGTCATTACTTAACTCAAACGGCGACACTTTAGAAAATAACCCAAAAATTGGTTCATATAGTTTTCGTTTTCAAGTGTAATGCCTAATTTTGTGCAAGGTCAAACTGTCACACCTCACATATTTTCTGGAATAATAATTTTTAAACAAACAATTTCGATCTGTTTCTCTTATCACTGAATACGCTTATTGTTGGTTTAGGGAATAACTTGAGAAAATGTTTTGTTCAAATAAGCCTTCAGTCAAAGGTTTAGCAGTTTTATTATTTGTTGGACTAAAATACCTACTCTATTGATTAATAATGACTAAAGTCCCCAATTTTTTTGCTCCCAGGAGCCTATTTATGATAATATTAATAAATAACGAAACTAAAATGTAAATATGTTCATACTGCAGAGGTTACAAATACATCTTCTTCTTCGTCGCTCTCGTCGATAGTTTCTGGATAATTGTCATACTTGGAAGGCTGTCTTTGGAAAAAGCTTCTCTTGTGTTTTAGCTTATCGGTAATGGGGGAAGCTGGTTTTTTATATGCCGGCAATTCATCAGTATCCTCAAAGTTTATCATCTCGTTTCGAACAGATGACTTGGTTGACGAATGTAGTGTTTTGTAGTTTAAAGGTTCGAGAAAATCGGTCGAGCAACTTGCACCGTCGTCGGGACTATTCAATAATTTGGTTTCTGGAATATATTTGAAAATAAGCTGCTGGACAAATAAAACGGAACAAGCGAATTTTTAGCTGAACCTCAAATTCCAATATTGCGCGAAATAAAAACGATATCAATAAGCGGTTTGCGAAATTTAACTTCTAAATTACGCAAACCCCTCATTGATATCTTCTTGAGTTCGTATTATAGTAGAATCCAAAGTTAAACTAAAAATTCCCTTGTTCCGTTTCATTTGTCCAGCAGTTTAGTTTTCTCAAAGAATTTTATTTAAATTGTATTATGAAAAGTCGATGAATTATGGATTGAACCACCATCAAGTGACAAATATTATTCAAACCTACCGTCTGTATCAGAAAAACTACTTGCTTCATCGTCGTCCAGGTTTTGTCCCGAATTAATTTTCCGGACGTTGTCGAACTTTTTCCAATCGGATTCGTAACAATTGACGCACTTATTGTAGGAGACCATAGATTCGAACTTGTAGCCCCATAAAATTTCCCTGGCTAGATAGCTTGATTTGGCTTCAATCGAAACACCTGAAATGAGAAGAGGAGGCATTTTAGTTATTGCGGAGCTTTTTTAATAATTATACATATAGGTATAGACGGTATAGTAGGTAATCATGTTTTTGAAGGTGGCTATAGATATATTCCTTCTATCATAGAGTATATTCATCAACGATAAGATGGAGTAATATAATTGGTAAATGGATACAGTTAGAAAAGTCCCATTAGATTTAAGACTCTCCCTTATAACCAAAAATCTAAATACTTACAGACATTGCAATAAGAGTTTACATTAAGTAATGTTAATTATAATAATTTTATTTCCTCGAACATATTAGGTTAGGTAGTTATAAATCTCCCAAGTTGGGAAAATTATGCACTGTTTTGCCTACATTATACTAGAAAGTTCGCGAATGGAATTTTACTGCGTAATAGTCAAGCGAATTCGAGACGAGCGGAAGCAAATTTTCTACACAATTCTAGAGGAGACGACGCACTATAAAACGGAGTCGGTCGCTGAGCCAACTTACCTGTACTTTCAACGGTAGCACTCAACACAACAACAATCTCAATTTTTTGCAATCTCATTTTTTCCGCTTCGGAAAACTCATATAAAGCAGAATCCTTATTGATTTCGTGGTAAACAATAAGAGGCCACAAGAATGTTGGATTATTCGAGGCATTGTCAGCTTGCAACTCCAACTCTAAAAAAAAATCAAAGCCAATAAGATTTTAATGGTTCCAATAGTTGATTAAAACCTCTGTGAAAACTCGGAAGAATTTCTCCTTCTTGAGTCGTTTCGTTTTTTATTGCTATTGCTCTTAAACCAACTGCCACCAGTTTGCTTCTGCGAATATCACCAACTCTAATCATAAAACACAATTTGCCGTCCCTGTGAGAAATGACTGCCTTTTTCGAAAACTGAATTGTACTAGTGGCGTGCTTGGAACGAATTAATTTTGCAAAAACTATACCTGAAAATATGAATATTTTTTCAACTTATTAGTTCTGATGTGTTAACGTAGGTACTTATAGCAAATGAATCCAAAGTCATGCCGATAAGACACTGACAGACCAAAAGAAAAATAGCTTCTGGACATTCCTCGGTTATCGCTCTGGAACCATAACCTGTGGTGTGTTGAGTCTCCAAAGAATAAAGGAAGGCCGAATGGAATCCGTAAATATTGAGAACACAGGGATTCCAACCTAATTGTTTTACAAAATGCGCCACTTATCGAATTGTATAATTATTATGCGAAACTCCATTTAAAAAAAATATAAAGTGCTTTGAGAAAAAATTAATCGAGCATAAATTGATGGATATTGATATTAATTATTGTTTCTATACCTGTCTCTGCTTGACGTAGAGGTAAATGGTCGTCATGTAAATCTCCATGAACAAAAGCGATTAGCCACCATAAAAGGGCGAAAACCAGCCAACAACCAAAAAATTCAAGAGCTAAAAAATAATATTATACAAATAAAATTGCTCCATATCAATACTCTTTACCGAGGAATTGGAGAGTCCATCTCCACTGAGCATCCAATAAAGTATTGACAATGTCTTGTAGGAATCTCCACCTACGCCAATTTTTCATGCTTTTCCTGTAGATATTTTCATGTCCGTCTTTGAGAATAGCTCTTCGTGGGTATTTTTTTGGTCCCCACGGTAGCCATGTTTTTCTGGAAAATATAATATGAATTGTAGCTTGAACTTAAACATCTACTGTACGATAGCTTTAGTTGATTTTTAACTTACTTTTTCACATTTTCGGCCGTTTGGGAAAACCACTCGACGTCCCACACAGCCATCTTAATACACCCAAATGCATATAATAACTAAAATGTAATATTTGAGAAAAATTAAAATTTATTGCTTCCTCTATCATTTTGGGAAGGATGCTATATTATTTTATGGGTAAAAAAATATTGCTTTTTATTATGATCTACTTATTATATAATATGTATCTATGAGTATTAAATAAAATATTGTAAGTATTTAAATACAAGATACAATTTTTAGCATAATTAAATGATGTTAAAAATTTTAATGTCGAATTTAACGACTATTGTGTGTGTCAAGGATGTAAAATTACAATTCAACGACATTTTCCGTGATTTTTTACATACTTTCAATCAAAATCGATCCTAGTCTTAAAATGTGTTAGAATTTGCATTTGATAATGGAATAAACTAAATTGGAATTATATTGCCTATACAGATTCAATTTTGCGTTTGAATTTGACACCAGAAAATGGTTTGAAGTTCTGAATGTGTTTCCTTTCGAAAATGGGTGCAAAATTGCATTTTAACAACATTCTATGTGGTTAATTTTTACTTCTTTTCCATCAAAATTCATCCAACGCTGTTTAAAATGTTGTAGCTGTCCGCCCAAGTACTCATTCAATTAGTTTTATTTAATGTTGTTATTTTCTTTGGTAGCTACAAATAAAATTTTGGAGGGGATCTATTTGCAAATGAGAGAAACAACTGCAGTAAGGTTTTCATACATATTATTATACATACTTTTATTATATAAAATAACATAGCCAAAAAGAAAATAGGTCTGTTCTCATAGAAATCACAAACCAGTCAGAGCGTTTTTGATTGGTGCAAATCGCCAACAACCAAAAACCAGTTTTCTTACTATTTTCAACCAAATAATTCGCTCGGACTGGTTTGTGATTTCTGTGAGGACAGGCGTAGATATTACTTAAACTTAAAGTCTTAATTTTCCAATCGTTACAGGCCTCCTGTTTTTACTTGCTAACTCCAGAGTGAAATCCCTTCCAATATCAAACAACCTATAAGATTTTCTTTTCCTGACTGAGCCATAACTTTAGACAGAACAATATTATTTAATCATCGTTACATTTTAAATCTTTTCATAAGACAGAGCTAACCCTACCCCTACCCCTACTAACCCAAAATATTCAATAGTCAATTTCAATAATATAATGTTCCAATAATCGATTCAACTTGAACTTTTTCTCATAGTCATTGCAATAAATGGTTATATTAAGTCTCGAATTATTAAGTACATACCTATTCCTACATGTAGGGTGTTTCATTCCCCATATTATATTGACACTCCACCTGCAGCTTTTACTTACAGGGTGTTCTCAAAACCGTTCCATGAGAATAAAAAATTCGTTCTGTTTCCCGGTTTCGAGAATAGACACCCAGGTAGAAGAAAGGTGTGAATCCAAACGTTATGCAGTTTTGGCTGATTTTAAGAATCCATGGTCAGAAACAAAAATTGAATGTCAGAAAAGTGAAATTTTCCATACTTGTAACTTTTTTCGAATAGGAATAATGGGATGCCCTATATTAATCAGTAGATCTAAGGGGATTTGAACCTTCTATATGGACCATAGGTTGCTTCTGTGACGCTCAAGAATGCTCTGATGTTGTTAGTGGCTCCTAATTAAGTGCTCCAATTTCAATTGACTTTTTTCTCTGTCCTTCAGCCTTCGCACGAATATAAGTTTGTTTCTTCTTCAGACGTTCTGAATTTTTTTATTGTTCCTCTCAAACTAATTCTGATGTCTCCTTGTGAATAAATCCGTTGATTCTTCACAGGCTGTCAGCATAGCTGTTTTAAGCATTGACCAATGCTGTTCAATATCGTCGGGATAATCAGCAGACAGTTCTTTATTCACCAGGAACTGGAAGTTTGTGTTGGTGTCCGTCGCTCAATATTCAACCTTCGTTGTGGTCGTTTCCTTTGCTCCCATCGTTTTGATGGTACCTACTAGGGTCATAAGAGATGGGATTTGGTGATCCAGTCTAGCATCAACATAGAATCTTCTTTTTGTCGGCATCTAGAGTTGAAACGCAGGTATGCACTCATTACAGCGGTATTTTGGTTGTTTACGAGCTTGAGAGAAAAAAGTATTTCACTTATCCCAGAAGTGAGTTCATTAAGGACCGATACGTTTGATCTCGATTAACGAATTTGACACGACATTAAATTTAACAAGGTTTTGCATGGCCAAGGTCTGTGAGTATGACGTGCTTAGTCCTGCTTAGAGCACATTCAAACCCCTGATTATTTTTAACGGCTGTCAAATGCGAAAACTGAGAACAAAAGTACCGGGATTGAGTATTCCAAAATAAACTGCATAAAAATTGCAAACATTTTTTCACAAACAATTCCTTCTGGGTACAATAATGTTGAGTCGCTTTTCTTATTTGAGTTGTTGCACAGGGCAACAATTAACATTAATTAATTACCACTGGTCGTTAAGCAGCATCTAATAAGTACATACACTAGTTCATAATGACGCATGAGGATAATGTAGAGGTTTTCTTCGTGTCGCGCAAATCTCAAATACGACAATACACTTGCTACGTGTGCACAATCTCCCAGAGTTCTTGGTACAGATTTCCATGTACAACGTACAATAATATTGGCTCAATAACCTGAATAATTTATTAAATAGATTATATTTGGTAGCATTACGAGAGCGAGATAAAACGCGAATTTTTGAAAATCCTGCTTCATTTAGTCGATTGTCTAGCTCGAAAGAGTTCTGTCTATCTCTCTACATTGGTACTTTCCATCAGAACTTGCGGATGATCTCTATTTAGAATAGCTTCAGCCTCCAGCAATTTTGTAAAGGTCGCCGATATAAACAAGATGTGCCATTGAGATAGTATTTGTGAAGATCCCAAAAGACGGCTATAAATTCCCACATAACAGTGAAAGAACATTCATATTCTCAGAATATTCCCTCAAAGTGCTTTTTCGAATGTTCTTTTAGGAATGTTTAATGAATATTCTAAGATTGCTTCGATTGAAATATTCATTTTTGGACGTTCTATTTATGTACTAGCAATGTTGCTTCTATGCACCTACTTGAAAGATTGTGCTAAGAACCTACTTTATATAACATTTTTTGAATATTGTCATACGAACATTATTAGAATGTCAGTGAATGCAATACCGGGATACCGGGATCCCGAAATACCGGGATCCCGCACGCCATATGCAGAACTGATCTCGCTCATAAACTAAGCGGGATCCCGCCGGGATTTGCGGGATTGAAAAGAACTGTACCCTTGGTGTCACTCGGGCCTGCTACGCGCGAACTGGACTACGGATCGTGGTGAGGAGACTGAGAGAAACTTTCTCGCCCTAATTCGAAGTTGTTTATTACTATTTTTTAATTTTGGCAGTTTTGTTCCAACTTTCAATAAGGACGTGTAGGGGTCGCAGTGCAACAAATTCTTAATTTTGGTTAAGTAAACAAGATTTACTCTTTTAAGTAGGTATTCAAGTTTAAATAATTATCATATGTTAGAAACTGTAGCTCTGTTCCAACCGACATGAGAACCGTTCTAGAACGGTAATTTCCAGTTGATCAATTCATTTGTCAAGTAGGATGAACTCATTGAAAAATAGGTGGGCAACTGGAAATTACTGGTTCTGGAACGGTTCTCATGTCGGTTGGAACAGACCTACAATTTCCAACATAATGATAACTTGAAAAGGTGAATTTTGTTAATCTTCAGAAATCAGAATGCAAGTTGTGTAGATGAATAATTAAAACGACAGGTCGTTTGCGCAGTTATTTCCAAAATATTATTTAAATATCTTCTGACTTGTTATGTTAATCTTCTAATAATAATGTTTAAATATCTTTGAAAAACATTATTGAATAATTTGATACTTGATATTTGTTCAATTTTAGTCAAAACCCTTTAAATCTGGTACTATATTATGATTTATTTGCAAAGTCACACAGGATTCTGCGGGATCCCGTAAATACCTGGATCCCGCAGGATTGGAAATGTCCAGTCCCGCAAATACCGGGACTGGAATTATCTTGCGGGATTGCATTCTTTAGAATGTACCTTACAAAATGTTCTTTCGGCTAATATCTCTATCAAGTATTAAGAATATACCTACCAAGTTGTGCTGAGAAGTTTATGTAGGTAGATAACCATGATAAGAATATTTTCATATTGTTCACCTAATTATCTAAAGTAGGTACCTTCTCAAAAATCTTAATTGAACAATTAAACAATAATGCTCTATCTAGAACCTACTAAAAATTTATAGGTATATTCTTTTTCGTTTGCTTTGTAGGACTTCCAAGAGAGGGAGCCACGCGCTATTGAAGATCTACATCTTGCCTAGCGTTTGCATCTCTTTGGAAACTATTTCTCTCAGTTGGCATGCTTACCGCGACGAGAGCATAACAAGCTCGAAATCGGAGCTTTGGTTAAACACTTGTGTTTTCCAGAGAAGTTTTCCAACAACTCTTTCACTGCCTTTAATATAAAACGACTGAAAGGGCAGAAAGGGGCGAACATTAACATTCCAAGTATATCCTTAGAATCAAACAAGAATATTATGTATAGGATGCATATTGAGAATGATATATGTAGATATATCCTAAGAATATTTCAAGCATATTGGTATTATATTCTTTTGAGAACATAACTATAATGTCATAGAAACATTCTTTCAATGTGAGAATACACATTTCAAGTATATTTTTAGAATTAAACAAGAATATTCTTTTCAGGATGTACTGAGAATCTCATAGGTATATTCTAGGAATATCCCAATGGATTTCCCAGGAAGTTCTTGGGTATTGCAAATAATATTTCTATACAAGTAATAGGTGGTAGACGCTTTTTACTCATTGGGCGTCGACCGGTGAGATACCACCATGCCAGAATTGAGTAGCGCTAAGTGGTATCACCACGTTCCGCTACTGCGCTGGCAGTCCGGTTCCAACAATGAGTAACAGATAGCATGATGGCGCCTCTAGGATCAAAATATTCCGGAGGTAAAATACCCGACCACTCGGATCTCCGGGCGTCGGGTGATCCTGGGGGTCCTTCATGCAAAGATATAAAGAGAAGAACAAAAACTCAACTCAGAATTGATTTTAGCAATATAAGAGGAATAAGTACAAATATGAATTCAGTT